ATATTTATATAAACTCTGTTTTCTGTGTGTATGCAGGCACGCCTGGGGGCAAGGCGAAGATATGTGTGACGGTGCTGGACCCCCAGGTGCATTTTTCTTTTGAGATGTTTCAGGGTTTTGTGAGCCTGGAGACGCATGCACGGCTGGAGCAGCTACAAGTGGCTAAGTCAGCAGCAGCAGCAGCAGCAGCAATGAAAGCTGCTGTTGCTGCTGCTGCTGCTGCTGCTGAAGCAGATGCTCTTGCTCTCACACAACAAATACCCATACGAGAACAAGACCTATTCACTGCTCGCTCCTATCCACCATGGGTGCAGCAGCAGCAGCAGCAGCAACAGCAGCAGCAGCAGCAGCAGCAGCAGCAGCTGCTGCTGCTGCCGTATAACATGCAGGAGACAGGGTCTCCACACACAGAGAAGCTGCAACGCTCGCTGCATGCAGCAGAGTCAGAGAGAAGCACAGGAGTATACGAGGGCTCTCTTGGTGTTTCACTGAATGGTGTTGGTGCTGCATCTCCTATTGCTGCTACTTCCACTTCTGCTGCTGCTGCTGCAGCTGCTGCTGCTGCTGCTGACACAGCAGCAGCAGCAGCAGCAGCTCTCGGGGGCCATCCATCAACTCTGCGTGTTACGAATTACTCTGTCTCTCTCGGTGACCTCTCTGTGGAGGGGGTGTTGCTGCGGTTCCTAAGAGACTTTGCTTTTTCTCTAAGAGATGCAGCGGGGCCCCCATCACAGCAGCGGCAGAGGCCCCTCTTTGGGTGGGCCCAGCCAGAGGGGATGGGGGGGAGAGCAGCAGCAGCAGCAGCAGCAGCAGCAGCAGCAAGGGGAGGAGAGGGTACAGCTGAGGCCCCCATCGTCGATGCTATGGATCTGGTGCGGCTGCATCAGCAGCGGAGAGGGGGGGCCCTCGGTAGGGCCCTTGAGGAGTTGAAAGCTATATCTAGCGGCTCCCAGACCCTGCTGCCTGACGAAGCAAACTCTGTACTTACTAGCAGCAGAAGCAACAGCAGCAACAGCAGCAACAGCAGCAGCAGCAGCAACAGCGGCAGCAGCATTGAATCACCAATTGCACACACTACTGAATCCTTCTCCTGGGGCCCTGTTGACCCAGCATCGAGACAGACGCTGCAGCACGAGCTGCAGCATAGAAAATCCCCACACCACCAGCACCAGCACCAGCAGCACCAGCAGCAGCAGCAGCAGCAGCAGCAGCAGCAGCAGCAGCAGGGTTTAACATACAGGGATGCTCAGAATTTATTTCAAAGAATAGATGATGAAGAAGCTGTAGATACAGCTGAGCTGCTGCTGCTCGCTAACCTAATGGCCGTAGGAAACAGAGAAGCAACAAAAACTCACGGGGTGTATACGAGGGGCCCCCAGGGTACAGAAGATGATTTATTACAGGATGATGAGGGGCCCCGTGGTGGGGGCCCCCTTGTTCGACGTCGAGGTTATATGGGTATAATAGAGGGTACTACAGCAGCAGCAGCAGCAGGGGGGGCCCCCCCGGGGCCCCCGGGTCCCCCAGCGGAGCTAAGCAGCGAGGTGTCTATGAGTTTGTTTCAGGGGCCCCCCGAGACAGAGTTCGTGGACCCATACAGCCAGGTGATAAGTTTTTTTTTATCTTTGATGAGTTTCAAGGTGTATGGAGAAACAGAATTTGAAATAAAAGGAGAAGTGGTGAAGGGTGCTTTTGAGTTTCATGATGCTCATGGTTCTTTATTAAAAGTGAGTGTATTAACACTAGAAATTCAGGTGTATATACACCCCGAGTTATGGAGTATAGATTCCGTGAAAAATTTTGGTGGGAGATTAGAGTTGATGGTTTCGGGATACGATCCCATGACCAACTCCCAAGAAGAACTCTTACACCCTGTCTCTGCATCTGTAGAGATACAGAGACAATACATAGATCCTGGTGCTAGCCATTGGAGTTTAGTGAATATAAGAAGCGCAATGGATGGGGTTTCTCTAGATATAACATCAGGCTTGTTGCAGCTTGTTTATTATATTATGGGAACTACAAAAGAAATACTAGAAGGAGTTGAAGGCAACCTCGGCAGACACACCAGCCTCAGAATATATAATGATATTCATGCTGAAGTACTCGTCATGCATCGCAGAAGAGCTAGAGATGACAGAGGGTTCGTCTATATATATATATATATATATATATATATATATTTGTGTT